CTCATTTGTCCGTTAGCCAATACCGCTGCAATTGCACGTTTGTCCTTCTCATTTGTCCGTTAGCCAATACCGCTGCAATTGCACGTTTGTCCTTCTCATTTGTCCGTTAGCCAATACCGCTGCAATTGCACGTTTGTCCGTTAGCCAGTTCCGGTACAATTGCAGTTTTGTCCTCCTCATTTGTCCGTTAGCCAGCAGCGGTTCAAGTACAATTGCACTTTTGTCCTCCTCATTTGTCCGCTAGCCAGTTCCGCTACAATTGCACTTTTCTCTTCCTCTACCGCTTCCACTGCACTTCTGTCCTCCTCATTTCACTCATTTCTTCCGATAGCCCGCACCCCTACAATTGCCTTTTTGTCCTCCTCATTTCAATCATTTCTCCCGTATTTACCCCGCACCGCTCCCATTGCACTTTTGTACTCATCATTTGTCCGTTAGCCATCGCCAATACGTCGGTTTCTTCGCTCCCGAATCCGAGCAGGCGGCCAGCACCGCGACAACTCCACTTCTGTCCTTTCTATGCGACAAACATAGTTTGTCGTCTAGTGACGATTTGACCTGGAACCACATTGCAGTGCTGTCCTCAGGACGAAACGGCTTTGACAGTTGTACCCAGAACTGCCTCCCCGTTTCCGGCGATGTCGTCGTCGAGTTCTGAGAGGGCACGGTGCCGTTCTTCGCCGCAGAGCGCCCCTCCGTATCTGTCGGACTGGCGCAGGTGGCGAGTACGACTGCCTCCCCTTTCTTCGCGTTCCCGTCTTTGATCGACATGCACTTGGCTGCTTCCTCATTTTTCCACGGAATGCCGCTGGGAAACCTGGTGCTCCACCGCTGTCTCTTGGCGCCAATACAGCTCGTCAACACTAATTGGCTTCCAACGGAGGCTTTGCTGATGGCACAGAGGCAAGTGAGTGTGGCGTTGTTCTGGAGGACAACGCGACGGAGGTCCACGGGGTTAGTTTGCTGCCGGCCGGGACCGAAGGCAGGACGGCGGGGGCTAGGGACATAGCGGGGGGAGTAGCCCCAGGCGGAGACGGGGGGAGCAAGGTAGTTGGTGACCATCAACGTAGATAGGACGAAGAAGAGGTTGAGGTAGTAGAAGAAGAAGAAGAAAGACGACGAGGAGGAGAAGGAGGAGGACGAGGAGGAGGAGAAGAGGTTGAGGTTGGGACGGAGGACGGAAGATCCAGGAGGAGGAGGAGGAGAAGAAGGCACAGGAGAAGAAGAAAAAGTCTTCCCTCCACCATAGCTCAGCCCTTCGCGGGCTGACGGGCTGGTGCAATCGGCAACCGCCGCCATAGCTGATCTCTTCATCTTCTTCTTCCTCAGCATCCCGACGCAGCCTGCACGACTGCAAATCCTGCTCCCATCCATTTCAACTCCAAACTCCCCCCACATCTCTCTCTCTCTCTCTCTCTCTCTCTCTCTCTCTCTCTTTGTGTGTGTGTGTGTGTGTGCGAACGTGTGTCCGACAAGCGTGGGTCGATGGCTGGATCGCGCGCGCGCGTGCGCGCACGCACGCGCGCTGGGAAGGAGGAGTTGATGGAGAAGGAATGAGAACTCAACCACGCACGCTCGAGAACCCAATCAGCGGGAAAGTTCGACGAAACTTCCGATCACCGAAGAAAGGTGAAGGTGAAGGTGCAATTAGCACTCAACCACGCAACCTCGACAACCCATCGCGAAACTTCGACGAAACTTCCTCGGTGCAATCACCTTCAAGTTGTCTCTTGGCGTTCGCAGAGATACTAAAGTTGTCTCTTCGACGAACTTTCGTCGAACTAAATGATTCCTCAGTTACTCTACGAGTATTTTAAAACGAGCATCTTACTCCTCGAAACTTCGACAAAACTTCGCAACTTCCTCTCGGATCTTTCCACCGCTCGAATAAGATGCGATCTTTTCGTCGACCACCTCTCGGATCTTTCCACCGCTCCAATATCCTTCCTCTCTCTCTCTCTCTCTCTCTCTCTCTCTCTCTCTCTCTCTCTCAGTTTTCCCGCTCGTAAATGCTAATTGCCTTTCTCGGGAGGGTCGACCCTGGTCCCTCCTAATTGCAATTTTGCCCTCCTGTCGATTTCCCTCCTCCTCCTCATCTCCTCCTCCTCCTCCTCCTCCTCGTCGCTGCCTTTCTTCGGTAGATTGCCCCTTCTCCTCCTTTTCTTTGTTCTCCCTCCCTCGGACGTTTCTCTCCCTCCTCCTCCTCCTCCTCCTCCTCCTCCTCCTCCTCCTACTCCTCCTCCTCCTTTCCCTCCTCCTTCTCCTCCTCCCCCTCCTCCTTTCCCTCCTCCTTCTCCTAATTGGCTTTCTTGGCACAAGAAAAACCTCGGACTTGCGCCCTCACACGAGTCTCCCCTTCTCCGTCAGACCAACCACCTCCCTATCCTAACAACGGCACGGCTGTAGATACGGTCTGACTGAAGGTGATACTAGTATTTACGATAAAAAGGTAATACCCAATTCCCAATCTCGAGCAGATAAGAGTTTGGTCGATTTCTTGTTCCCGCGCTCCGTCCTACGTCCGCTCACCATCCGTTCCCCCATCCACGGTCGGATGACAAGGAACCTAATTCGAAGCTAATTAGAACACCGAAGGAATCTTATCCAATCCAATCAAACTCTTTTATCCCGCATCCACTCAACTCTTCACCCAATCCAATCGAATCTTTCATCCAATCTAATCACATCTTACTCAATCCAATTACATCTCACGCAGAGACCAATCCATAGATTGCATCCTCCTGTGCCCACACAGCAGGCACATACTCCACACATACTCGTGTGGGCACATACTCCACACACACTCGTTCTCACAGCGACCAAAATCTGGTCTCAAACAACCACATCCCCCACTCCAATCCTTTCTCTAGG